CATTCTCTTACCAGGAAAGGTCAACAGGTCAGCCCGGCCATATGCAATGAGATGCACATCATTGTACTCATCTTGACACGGTGAACTCGAAACTATCTTCAAAATTTGCGGAACGATTCTCTGAGCGGAGTTATGGAGGTTTTCGTTACTGTTTTTCTTATTCTGGGAGCGCTGGCGCCGCGAAGCGTTGGCACCTTTAGCGCGACTCACAGCGCTCTTCGTGCAGAATAGGTATCATATTCGTGTTTAAGGGGTCAAATAACCCCCAGAGACGTCACCTTAGCAAAATCTGAGCTTCTGACTCAACTTCGAAAAAACGGGGTATGGATAGTCATGGCTGACTGATAGCCAACAGCGATACTATGACTAGCATACTGGTGATGACTGGTCTTCGAACTGCTTAATGACTCTTTCAAGTCATACTTTCGCAAACAACAGCCACCTGCTTACTATTTGTCTCTAAGGCACCATTTTCTTGACTATCGGGAGGAAATCCATTCCGAGACCAGTCATCGATGGTAGGTGAGCTCCAAACTGCTGCTAATTACCCATGGAATAACTCACATTTTCCAAGTTAGGTCGAAATATCAGATTCGGCTAGAAACTTGTCCCCAGGGTAATTTAACCCGCTGAACATGAATATGATGGTATTTCATTGCAAAAACCCTTGCGACATGTGCTACGGGGGGACAAGCACGAACACTCTTTCAGGCCCATGATGGGTTTAGCTTCTCAAAAAAACTGCGTCAACTTTCCTTACAGGATAGTTGCAGGCGAAGCAGAAGCTGTTAGAAGTCTCGTTCGGTCCATTGCTTCTTAGGACACGAATGCAAAAATGCACCCTGCCGGGAACCGACCCTACGACGTCTCGCCTAGTGAACCCGCTCACTATCCGTTGCGCTCTACTGCCACGTTTCAATTTGACTCCATTTCTTGCCTATGCAAAAGACGCCTTCCACGTGGTCCTCGCGCGATAGCATTCTGAAACAACCACGCGGGGATGCAACTCTCCATAACTCCATTCAGAGAGTCGTTCCGCAAATTCTGAAGGTAGATTTGAGTTCACTGTCCCATGACGCGTACAACGGTGTGCAGCTCATTGGAAATGGCCGGGCTAGACCTTGTTGAACCTTTCCTGCTTTGAGCGAGTTCTCCGGAACTACTCATTTTATACCAGCAAAGTTATATCCTGCCACCTCTAGCCCGACAGCGATTCTTCCGCCTCATGTAGCAGTAATGCCATCAAACAACGAAGAAATTGAAAAACAAGTTGTAAAAACTGAACTCGTGACAGAAAATAGCTTTGTTTTACTGGGCGGGACAACTGAGGAGCGTCAGAGCTCTCATTATATGAACGCCACAGCGCGCCGTCTACTAACGGCCGGAAGTCCCGAAAGTGGAGCAATTCACAGGAAGGAGGAACAGACTACACTACTTGCTTACAAGAAGGCCTGCACCGTGTTTGCTCGGACCTGGGACTGCCCATTGCCAGAATTCGAAAGACTCTAGAAAGAGCAGATTCCAACTCCTCTCATCTTGAAACCTCGGCATTGTCGACGATATTTTCTTCTTCTGTTTTTGCCAACGAGGTTTTCTAGAAAGAGCTTTTATCGGTGCTGAATGCATCAAGTCGCTCATCCACTTCGAAGCTCCGTTCTCCTCTCACGATTGTCGGTATTACTATTCAGGCAACAGGCGGTAAATGAGAAATTGCCTAGACCTAGCCCTCGATTGCTAGACATATAGCCCACGGTTTTTGGTGGTATTTGCAATAGCATTCGCCTCCAAACCCAGGCGTAGAGCGCGACGCGTGCCCATGTGGTAGTGATTGAACTGAAATCAGTTTCATATCACTAGTCATGCTAGGCAGAAATCTGCACGAACAAAGATCCTGCGATCAGGAAGTGGCTCGGCCCTTCCGGGTATCGGCACCTTGCACAAAGCTAGACTGTTACTGGAGTAAGTTCCTGTCAACTATATTGGGTTCCATTTTTTCACTGAAAAAGCCATTCGCGACCTTCGGATCGATTACACGTTCTCTGCTACCTTTGGCGGTCTTACTATGGAAACGGCACCCAGGTACCATACCCTACAACCCCATTCCCGTGCAATATTGACCGAAGAAAGGGGCACTTTGCTGCAGCAACGGACCGATTCTCCCCACACATAACGCTGCGGAAGTGAGTGTAGAGATTGTCTTCAACGAGAAACAGGTTAAAAATACAGCTGAAAGAACAAGAAGGGAAAAAACTGTGCGCAAAATGTGGCTAAACTCGTAGGAAAGAATCTTTCATTCCGTTAAACGACCGTTATCACATTAAAAACAATTTTCGACTTTCATCTTCGTACTGTCGTTCAGCTGAAACATTCATTTTAAGCGTAACATTGGTCATAATGGTACCACAGTACTGTGTACTATTGAAAGGATAACGCTGTTAAAGACGCTGTGGCACCAGGGGGGCGAGTTCCATGCTGCTTGCATGGGCAAACAAGTGGGCGGAGACAGTCAACCACCGTGTCTTACAGCTGTTAGCTTTCTTTGATTGTTGGTACTAATCTCGATCAGCCATTCAATTGGAAGAAGTGGCTTCATGATACCAGAACAGCGGACCCCAAGCGGGACAAAAGCTGTAGGATAAGAAAAAAAAGATTACCTTTATTTTCTTCCGTCCCCTGTCTTTTCTTTACTCCCTTCTGCAGACCCACTAGGTTTAGGTTTCTGAAAAAATGAGTCTTACTGAAGGCTGCTGATTTCCAGATCCTGCGAACAGTGGCAAGCAGGGCACATCATAGCGGAAAATTTCTTCGACAGGGCCCTCTTAACACCGTTTTCTCAGATGGAAATCCCGCCCATTCAAAAAATCCGAAAATTCCGTTGAAGTGGGGGCTGCGTATTGAGGGACCCAGATATCAACGATCAGCTTTAACTATAAGGAGCACACTGAAAACTGCACACCAGGGAAAAGGGAAAACAGCGCATCTGAAACGGGAAGAACCATCGACAAATCTTCCGAAGACCAAGTACGACTCTCCGGTGACCAAGCAGAAACGTTCACCCCAATAAAGACCCCACAACGACTACTTGGCCATATAGTCTTGTTCGCTGCGGACGCTGAGGCTTCTCAGAGGGAGAGAGTGGGTTTAGCTACGGCCATCCAGGTTTTCAACAGTTGTGGTCGTCTGTCAGCTTGACTAATTGGTAGAGAACAGCGCTAAACCCAGCCTCATGACACGCCCCAGCGCCGGCAACAAACAGACTGTAGATCATCATGTGCTCTTTCACAGCAACGATCGTATATTATTACTCGGGAATTTCCCCTACAGTTTGCTAGAGAGCAGGGGAAAGATGATTTTTGCAGTCCCACGCGCGCTGTTAGGCAGCGTTCATAGCTTGCGACCGTGAAGAAATGCAGAAATGCGGAAAGTGCAGAAATGACGAAAAGCATTACATACGTATCGATTTGAAGAAATGCAGAAATGCCGAAAGTGAAGAAAGTGCGGAATCTGCAGAAATGCCGAAAGTGAAGAAGTGCGGAATCTGCAGAAATGCCGAAAGTGCGGAAAATCGATACGTATCGGTTGCTTTTCGTCATTTCTGCAGATTCCGCATTTCTTCATTTCTGCATTTCTTCATGGTCGCAAGCTATGAACGCGGCCTTGAGAAGTGGATGAAAGTGAACCTAACTGTAAGTGGCGGTGGCAGCGGTGAAGCAAAACGGAAAAACGTACTTCTTCCGGGGCACTTACCTCTTTTGATGTGTCTGGTGCCCGTCGATCGCTGAGACTTTTGGACGATATAGATTGCGACTTCTTCACTCTCCCCGAGCTTCGCTGCCCTTTAGTTTTTTTCGGTCCTTTTGGGCTGCTCATCGGTCGAGCCTTCGCGACAGTTGGGCTTGTCTTCTTCTTTGGACGCATAGCACTTATTGACACCGGTCCACCAGTAACATCTACACCACTACCTGTTTTGGACGAACTGGCCGCAGAAGTTGGTCTGGCGGTTGAATGGCCGGTAATTGTCATATCTGTCCTTTGTAATATAAATGGTTGCGGTGTCGTTACAGCGTGTGCCCCAGGAACAGGTGTCAGCAAGGTGGGAGGTGCAGGAGACTGTACAGGTTGAGCTGGAGGCTGCGCTGGTGCAGCAGTGCTTGCGGCAGTATCTTCAGCAGATTTCCTGGGCTCTGTTTCTCCTGGAGTCGTGGATGCCGGTACTGCTGGTGTTGTCGGAGCTCCAGCAGTCGAAGTCGAACTCACTGGAGGTTTCTCGGTGGGAGGCACTGCGGTTGCTGTTTTGGATTGTTCAGAACGAATCGACCGCTCTATCATCGTTGAGAGGCTTGAAGCTGATGGCCAAGTCTGAAAGAACCACGCATACGTATACCACAGAAGAATTGTCTACGCGAGCTGGAACCTATCGGACCCCAGCGCTAACTGTGACTGGGTTTCCTCACTCCGGGGGGGGAAGGGATGGGTGGGGGCATGTAAGAGGTGTTAAGAATGGGCAGTGGCATCAGTTAGCTGGCATGGATCCAGCAATTCCGAAGAACGCCCGTTTTCACCTCGTCCAAGCGCTGGTGAATTTATATCGTGTTGTGAGGGTCTTTATTTATCGCCTTCATATTTGTTTATTCTTCTAGGCTCTTCATCGGCACCCCTTGTGCGAGCTGCTCCACCCGATTGCTCCCATCTGGCGCCGTGTCGCTGGCAAAAATCGTGCAAAATATAATACGACCCATCCCCCTCAAAATCGTCTCCTCTGGTACGGCCTTCACTGCATCATACCCCATCTTACCTGCCGTCTTCTCAGATTTTCCCAAATTTCCACCGTTTTCAAGAAGTATCAAGAACGCTCAACTCCTCCCCCTCCCCCTCCCCGAAAGAAACCGCCGTGGAGCAGGAGAGGAGGTAATGGTAAAACACATGAAACGGGAAATCCGAGTAAAGTCAACAACAAAAATCTTCTATAGGGCAAACGACTCCCCGGCCATAATACGACCCCTCGATCGGGATTCCCAACCTACGGCGTGCCCGGATCAGCATAGTGATCTCCATACAAGGACCAGCAGGAGTTTATAAGGAGATTTGGCTCATGCTGAATTCAAATGGAAAATGAATTTTATTGTTTGCCCTTTCCATGAATGTCAGAAACCCACCGTTTTCTTTTCCGGTGGCTGCTCCAACGCCGCCTTGTAGGCTTCTGAAAAGAAAAAGTCAAGTTCATTAACAAAGGAAGAAAATAAGTACGACTTGTTTTTTTATAGATGGAGGTTGATGGTGCCGCAAATACTGAGAGTGTAGGGGGAGGGGTTGTCACGAGGGTTCGTTTCCTCCTGAATCGACCACTAACCCGAACAGTATTTGAGAACTACACCGGCCAGCATCATTCTTCCCCTCTTGACACCGCCCCGACTGACTTCGATGATATCAGCCATGTATTAAGGTTGGCGGGAAAGTTCTGTCACATTTTTTCAAATTAGACTTTCTTTTTAGAGAGGCGTACAAGATCAAAATTATACAGCAATGTTATTGAGAGATCCTTGCCAGTTTTTGGACAGTTCGTGGATGCCATCGCTTAACAATGCACGCCGGCGCGACGCAAAGTTGGACATCATCTCAACTTTGACTTGGGCTCAAGTCGTGGAGGTTTTCTCGGCTGTATAACGGTTGAATACGGGAGGCGACTAGCAGTCAGAAAGAGCAATGTCTGGACTACACCGGTGCAAGGGGAGAGCCATCCAGCTCTATTGCATGAAGTACGGCTCGAACTTTTTTTGACGGGTGCTGCACCAGCAAGACGGACTGTGCCGATGGATTTTGCCCTCTGCTTGACGATTCGCTTCAGATCTCGTAGCTGCCTTGCGTACGGATTGACCGAGGAGGCAGCTTCTTCATCCAGTAGTTTCCCGACCCACCGCTATCTAGAGCTGAGTTTACAGGTACTCCCGAACCTCACTTCGTCATTCGAACCGTAGGCTCCCGCTCTGAAGAGCTAGCGTCGTGGAAGATTGTCTGATGACTGTAGACATTGTCCTTGTGCAGCTCCATTATTTCGGCGTCGACAGCTGCCATGCTGGCGCCAGGGTGGTAGAAGAAATAGTTTAAGGAAGCGCTTGAAGGGGTCGGTGCTGAAGGTAGCGGATAACATTCTTGTCCATAATGCAGAATAAGGATGAGCAGGAGCCGAGCCAGTGACACTAATAGAAAGATCAATCCTTAATGTATAAATGCTCACATTACCGGTTAGCCCTCTTCAGGTAATAGGCGAATACTTGGGTTCAAAAAAGTATGACAGAACTTTCCCGCCAACCTAATATAAGGGCACAACACCGGACCATATATGCACTATTTTCGAACACTTCCTAAGGGTAAACTAATACAGAACCAGTGTAAACATACTCACGTTCTCCTACCGCTGCCTTTGACAACCCTCCAACGCGAACACGAACTTCTTTGCCCTGTAAGATAAAACGTTCTTTTTGCCCGCAAATGTTAGAGTCATGTGGGAAACAGCGGACGCCTGAGAGTGGGGGATGTGCTCGATTGCAGTGTGTATTAAATAGAAGAAATGGAAAGCACCTAAGAACCATTTGAAATTCCCGCCGATTTATCAGCAGTCGAAGGTTTTCTCATGTTTGAACCCCAAAAACTAGTTTGTAAATTTATCGTGTATACTGAATAAGGTCTCGAACCTTTGAAGTAAGAGTGCTCTGGGGGAGCAACTTCCCCAAACAACAACAAATCAGCGAAAAATAGAAATTTGAAAAAAAAGTGATTATAGCTACTCGAATGATTACCTCTGTACCTGGATAGGGAGGAGGAGGACGATCAGCTTGCACTACCACACCATCCTGAATTTCGTTGTTAATATAAAGACAGCCTGCGATGTCAGGAATAGGGCATCATTAGTTGGGGTTTTGCTCGAGTCCGTACAACCCCCACTCTTTTTTTGGGTGGGGGGGGGGGTTGGTACGACTTCCCCCCAGTTCCCTACTCATCGAACTCTCGAGCAGGGGTACTGCGAGGAAAATACGACCCTCCTCTACCATCTTCGATCCTCCCCAACTTCTTCCAGAATTTCTCGAAGATTTTTCTACATTACCCAAACATTTTGCTGCCGAGCGGGGGGAGGGCTCCATGGTACACATGAAACAGGAAAAAAAACACGAAAAATCAGCAACCCATCGAGAAGCTCAGAAGGGAGATACCATCTCCACCCCTATAACGTCCCTGGATCAAAAAAGATCAACTATCAAAAAAATTTCCCCCGGCCAAATGCAACCCCTTCTCCCAGCGGCCAAATACGACCCCCCTACTGGGGAATCCCCAACAACGATGTGCCTTGGTCGCAAAAGTATCGCTCAGGATGCCATCTATGAGCTCTGCCCCTGGTTCGTACAAGTCCATGAACTTTCGAGGAATCATCGCGGGGAAAGCCGGAGAGAGGATAGTTTTTGCCGCTGTCATTCTGCTGCAAAAATTGTCGTCAAGGCGGCTGTAGGAGGAGGGCGAGGGTGTCGCTAATCGCCTCAGAGCAACTACCAAAACAGTGGTTGTTCAGTTTTTGCCGCTGTCATTCTGCTGCAAGAACTGTCGTCAAGGCGGCACCACCAACCAGGAGGGTGGGGGGGGGGGAATTTTTCTTGACGCGGGTACATTTCTTATCGACCAAGCATGGATTTCCCCCAACAATGCCGTGAATACAGCGGTGAGAAGGGGAAAATCAAGATTTAGACAAAATCCCTTCATGGATCCCAAAGTAAGAACTCCTTGTGCTCTGAACAATCGTGGTATGCCCTCACTGAGAAAAGTCGTTACAGCGTTTCCAACGGGATTCACATAAGCCATTTCCTACATTGTCTATGTGGAGTGCCCTCGGTACCTGACTATGCGAATTTGTTCAATGAAGGAAGTCGGACTCAGAACGGCTCGAGTCGAGAAGGAGTGTCTTGTTGAGGCAGGTCCATCTTGTAGAAACTTTTTTACCCAGGTAGGCAAGGGAGCCGTAGTAAAACTATTAAGTTGAAGGGGTGAGGGTGTGATTGGACAGCTATGGAGAGAGTGCTCTTCACCATACCCATGGTCTGTGCTATGTGAATACTGCCGCGAGGACTTTCGTAACCAAGGCGAACAATCCGCTGATATTGATGGAAATAGACGTACCTTATCCAATTTTCCTTCCTCCTTCTGCTTTTTAGTGATAGTAATGTCCAACATTTTGGTCTGAGATGGATAGCAGCGTTTAGCACTGTCACTGCAACTATCCCTGTTTACATTGCCAGATGGTTCCAGCTAATTTTTGAGACTGCTGCTGCCTCCGAGCCCTTGACGAATGCTCTCAGGGTGAAGAAAAAGAAGAAGAAGCACTCGGAGTGTTTCAAAAAAGGCCACATTTGTGAAATGTGCAGAGGGTGTAAATAAGTCCCATTTAGGGCTTCACCTTTCCGATTTTTCGTCGTGAAGTGACGATGGAATCTTCATCGAAATTGGTTCCGGTTCTGGTGATACCATTATTGAATCAAGATCAATTGCAGAACTTCTCTGAAAAAGTTCTGTTGAAGTAATTTTGAAAGCCAATTCGCCACGGTGGGCATCTTGAAGCCTCCTGTGGATGTGTCGGGTAATTGTACTACCCTCCACGACTTTCTCCCAAGCTGAAAAAATGCATAAGTCCCATTGGTGAGTAGCAAGTCAATCATCTTTGAACCACTTTAAAAAAGGCGACGTATGCGCGACAAGTAACGCGGCGATCTCGAAGTGGGCTGCGGTGTCCAGGAAAGCGATAGGTCCCCTTCTGTCCGAGATGTCAACCCTGCATAACATTGCTAAAGATAACCCAAAGGCACTGGTTTAATATACGCGACAACTACACTTGAACGACTGCGACGTCGCGGCCACGGCCACTAGGGCTCTCGCCGGACGATTGTCTTGGCCCACCCGTCTTCATTTGCGTGCCTTTCCTCCTGTTCTTGAGTTGAAGGGCTTTCAAAGCTGGAAGGGAAAGAGAACTTAATGCATGCTGAAGGAATGAGGATTTTCCCAACCTAGACGGAAGGAGCTTGAGAGTCCCCATGTGGAAGGAGTCCTGGTAGCCATAGTCTGATTCCAAGTGCCCCTCTGAGGTTGTGAAAGCAGTGAATCCAATAAAGCCACTTACAGAGTGGTCTACAGACATGTACGAGTATATCAGTCTGAGAAGCAAGATTAATCCCACGATGCAAAGGCCCGCTCCCGTAACCTGAAATGTGACTTTGAACGACGGAGAACAACACTCGTCACGTACGTTACAGTCGCTGTCGGTACGTCTTGTGAAGGCGTTCCTGCGTAGGCCGTTGTTATGGGAAGCCGTTGATGTGATCGCTGGCGATGCGCTTACAACCCCTATATCACTTGAGCTGCGTTCACTTTGTGGCATCGTCCACCAGCGACCATAGCGACCACCAACGACCATGTGCGCTTCAAGCGTCCGCTAGCGTCAGCCACTAGGAAAGTATAGAAATCGTATAAAGAGGTCTACCAGCGTCCACCAGCAACAAGAAGTGGAGAGTATGGGAAAGTTATAGGAAAGAGAGAGGTACAGCATCGTTGTGTGAACACAGTAGGAGGTCCGTACATACAGTCCTCATCATTGCGGACTGTCGGAGGCGGCGTGAGCAGCGCGGTTCGAGTCCGCGTTCGGCTCCCTTGCTCTACCAATGGCGATCGGGTAGAGATCGATTTAGGAAGGAAACAACCAATGATGGAAACGCCGCAGCTGAGAACCGCTGATTGCGACCCGACAATTGCGGTGATGTTAAGTGTACTTTTTGGCTGGGGAGGGGAGGGGTCGCATTTGGTCGTTTTGGGATGGGGGGGGGTGGGGTACGTTGGTTTGACAGAGAATTTGCCGGCTTGCTGAGAAATCTTCTCCTGGCTGTTGACCTTTCGCGTGATTTTTTTTTGTTTCATGTGTACTATGTATTCCCTGGGTGAAAAACTGGAAAATATGGGAAATGGCGTTGGTACAGAGGCAAATCGTGTGGGGAATCCCCAACAGGGGGGGTCGTATTTGGCCCCAAAAGGGGGGAGGGGGGGGGGGTCGTAGTGAGTGCGGCAGCCAGTAACGAGCAGCGCAAATTGTCAATGTGCTGAGTCCTGTACAACGAAACTTGCTTTGTAGAGAACTCGGATATGCAAAAAAATAGTACAAAACTTTCATTCATCAAACTAATCCGAAATAACTGCAAATATTAATAAGTCGACATTATCTCGTAGGTCCGTTGGTGACTAAACAGTACAAACAGTCAAACTCTGGTTCGCTGCCAATGATATGGCGTGTCCGCGGTCACGCTTGGCGCTGAGCCAACCTGTTTTTTTCTCGACAAGCGACAGGACTACCATATCGTTCATATCAGACGTTTTCCAGCAGTTGGTCTCCTTTATCGGAGTCAGCGATTGGCAGAGCACGAATCTGGCAGCGTTGACAGGGACATGTTCCATCATACGCAACGGAAAACACTGTAAACAAGTGCACAGGCTCGCCATGGACCTCCCTGAACCTTATAGACACATTTGCTCGCGTGAACAGACATTACGCACAAGTTGCACCATCCCATCACCTCTGCGCGGCCCTCAGTGCGCGGCGCATCCAAAGTTGACGTGATCGGCGCTAAACGAACCATATCCTGCTCCTGCTCCACCACAGGATACGTTCTACATGCGTTCCTGGCTATTCGAACACGCTCACTTGAAACGGTACACAGGAAACGGGTTTTTCGCGCAGCTGGAGTGTTCCTCAAGAAATCCCCATAGCGAGATCTCATGAATCCCGAGAGCTTCAGAAACAGTTCAAGAGGTTTTTCAGAAAGAGAAAATCTTCAAACACTCGGATCCGTTCTCAGATTTGTGAAATGTTGAGTTACAAAAAAAAATATTGGTTCAAACCTGTTCAACTTAAACTTCAACCCTTCACTCCCCATGGAATCCCTATGGCAGATTTCTCTGTGATTTTTGCGACCTTCATAAACGTTTCAGTACATTTAGGAAGTGCAATCCTTCCTCTACACGAATACGGTCTCCTCTTCCCCACAGGTCCGCTTTTGAGGAAGTTATGGTCCTTCAAAGACACCCTACTTTGCTGAAAATTCTCGCTCCATGGCTAAAATTGCCGAACGATCTGCGGTCACATCTGCAATTACATGCGCTTCTGCTACCGTACTCCAATAATCGGGGTAATGCATTTTTACGGCGGTTTGTATAACTGTTACGTAGTGAGACAAGCCTAACTTTCTCTTTTCCTCGTCCTCAATCTTGGGAATAGACGTTGTTAACACTGTGGTCGCTGATGGCCGCTCCCAGAGAGGGAGTTCACGTCAGGTTAACGAATGCTCATTGAATTTAATCGCGATATATTGTTATTATTACCATGTGTGTTTCAAAACGGCCATCGAAGAAGTTCATCATACGAGTTTCTCATAATACGATTGTACCGTTTTTTGTTTACAATCATTTCTGTATTGTTCTATTATGTCATGACTTCAAGTCGTCCATTTAGTATGGGCACCTTCATACAAGTAGAATTTCATAGTGGGCGTTTCATAATTTCATTTAAGGCGAAAAAAACCGAACGGCAAAAAAAGGGGGGGGGGGGTCGTACCGAACCCCCAAAAAAAGGGGGGTCGTACAGGCTCGACCAAAATCCCCATCGAATGCTGTGCCCTGGGTGGGCAGTTGCTGGAGAGAGGTGGGGGGGTCTCATACTGGCACCACCCTTTCTCACATCACGATGCTGTACACTGTCAGGGAAGCAGGCTGCTGGTAGGGTATGGGGAAGGAAGGGAGGAGACAACATGGATTAACGTGAAATCGTGTGCGTGGCGCAGCCACACCTGTACCGCTGCACAATACCATACCTCCCAGTCCGTTGTGGACGCTAGTGCGCACCGCTGGCGGCTCGCTGGTGCGACGCCTAGATCAATATCCATACTTTCCACGATCAGCTTACGGACGCTGATACCGCTGGGAGACGCATGTTGGACGCTGCGGACGTTTGGTAGACGCTCTTTGCCAGCGTTGGCTAGGTCCATATTTATACCCTCCTTATCGTTGACGCTGACAGACGCTCGATACTGTTTTCGATACTCCAATTGATACTCTTTGATACTACGATCTGATACTTTAATTACTGCTGCTTTAATTACTGCTGCTGCTGCGACGGGCGTTGTGAATTTTGTGAACTTGCTTTTTATCGCCTCTTATCGGCTCTTTTCAGTTGCTATCAGCTGTCTCCTATCACACACGCTCTCGTCTCATCCCCTTTATCGTTTAACAGTTTGGATTCCCTGCAGCGCGAGTTGTATCTAGTAGAATTCCACACTTACTACAGCTATCACTGTTACGGTGTGAATTTCATGATTCCAATCCAGATGATGAACTATGTATTGATAACTGTGTTTTGGAGGCGTTTGTCTGAAATTTTAGGTAACTCTGTTCTCTTTCAGAAATCTTCTGTAGTTGTACAGCACCATCTGCCATGATAGAAAGGTAATGTTACAGTCGATAAGGTCACAATCAGTCAGGCGATTCCTAGAGGGATGGAACGAACCCGCCAGCGGCGTTTCCACCACTGGTTCTCTTCCCACATCGATCGCTAACCGATCACCACTGGTAGAGCAAGGCAGCCGGAAGCAGGATCATTCCCTGCCCCTTGAGCTTTGGCTGATTGCGACGTTATCAACTAGAGATTAGCGATTATTCCGTCATACTACTGTGCACCAAAGCCTGGGCAGAAGTCCTTCAAGATGAGTTCGGTTCCATTTGACCGAACCTGGACGAATGGGATGCTCTAGCGGCCCAGGGAGGTGTAATCCTCAGAAGGTCCTCTTTCCTCTAACATAGTGCTTGCGCCGTCGCGACTTCGATGGCCTTGTTGGACATTTCTCTTACTTCAAACCCGAGCCACCCTCTGTCATAATGTTGAGTCCTGAACCCTCCCTAGTGCGTCCATCCAGGAAGCGATGAGAAGCAGATTCTCAAGGAATAGAAGTACGCCGTATGTGTCTCGGGAGCGATCGCCCTACTTGACAGAATACCATTCTGGTAGAAGGGAGGCACCTGGAATGGGGTGGGCTGCTTCGCAATTCCGATTTTCCTCAAATTTACGCAGTCCGGGGATTCTGCACCAGACTTAACAGCGCTGGCGTCGAGTTGCACACCGGCCCCTCCTGAGGCACATAGTG